AGGGGAAACAAAGGAGGAGGCTACAATGCTTGATAAGAAATGTACTCATTATCTTGCCCATGTAATTGTAACCCCTCTGTACAGTATTTTCACACACAAAAAAAGTAAGAACACTGAGAGCACAATAAGAAATGCAATGTGCAAGAAAGCCAGCCCATGTACACAGATATCTGTGACAAAGTCCTAGGTCTTATCTTCATATAAAAACAGAGCTTGAAAAATGGTATTTGTAGAATTAACACTCTTCCTGGTTAAAAAAAAAACCAACAACAAACAATAAAATTAGTTTCTAAACTAATAGGATATTTCTACTTTATGGTAAATTTCAAAGAACAAATACCCTTTTAAAAACCCAGTTACCCCTAACATCAGTTAAACAATAGACTTGGGACAGAAATTAACTTTATCCTTATGCCCTTGCATGCACACAGTAAAATAGAAGAAATAAGAGAAGAACTTCTTCTTATTAACAATAAGGGGGGCACAGGACTAAGAGAACCACGCAGAAAGCAGTCCACTGTAATTCATACCCTAGCTAAATATTAAAGCAAAGCTCCATCCACATAGAATTGTTATAAAATAAAATTCTGTGAGATTTAGATACCATAATTATGAAATCATCAATATTCTACTTTACAACCATAACAAAAAAATCACCTTTAGATCACTTATCAGAACTTTAAAAGAAGCAATCATATGCACAACGCCAACAGTTGTGTATATACATTTTTAAATCACAACAAAGGGAGATCCATATATGAGTAAGTTATGAAACACTGCATCATTCAAGAAAAATTGGAAGACGGTTTCAAAAAATGAGATGTATAATGGTAGCAACAAATGACTTATTAAAGTAAAATTTTATGGTATCTTGGAAAGACTTTATTTTCCCTTGCAACTTGTTCACATTTTCCCCCTTTAACCTATTAACAACTCTTAAGTTTACAAAGTTCACTTTTAAGGCCTGACACCCTTTTCCCTGGGATGGGAAGCTAGGGTTGGGGACAGAAGACACGTATGTGGTAGGCATCCAGAGAATGGAAGACTAGCACACAGTACATGACTAGTTCACGGCTATAAAACCATCTATTATATACCTCATTTTGGAAAAAAGTATGAAATTTTTTACCAGCATACAATAATGGTTTTAGGATGTTATTTCATATATGCATTTAACATACTTTGATCACCTGGGAACCTCGTTAATAGTGCTTACAAGGCAAAACAGAATTGTTTTCTCTCTCAAATCTCCTGAACATGTAAGAGTAATGCACTGTCTGTTACCTGTCTTTGGAGACATTCTGGCAAATAGGAAAGCTCCTCCACTGACAGATCTGCTCATCTCCCCAAGTCCAACCTGTCTCGGGAACCTTTCTCCAAAACAAAGCTGAGTAGCAGCAGCTTGCTGCCTATAAAATGCCGTCACCTCCTGGACAACACACTCCAGCTGTGAAGCCCAAGTTCCAGTACAGACCCCGCCCCCCCCACACTGCGGTTAATCTCACTGAGAGCTGCCAAATCCTCTCACTGTCACAATACTTACTTACCTGACCCCGTGTGCTCTCTCAGAGGAGGAAAGGAGGACATCTCTTTCTCACTGGAGTGCCTATAGAACTTTGTTTCCCTGGGTCAGGCAGTTACGACACCCTGTATTATGGGCTACTTATACAATTATAGGATGTAACTTCTGGAATACTGGGTATTCTGTCCTCTCCATGGTAGCTTCCAATTAAGCTGCCTTACAGTAAACTGCAACCTAATAAGTGCCTTATTTCAGACTTAGGAGCTTAGGCACTGCAGGGTATCAATGTGTAACCCTAGCTACCTGGACGCTGAGACCAGAGAACTGTGGTTTGAAGCTGGCCCTGGCAGAAAAGCGCCTAAGATCCCTTCACAACTCACAGCTGGGCCTACAGGCACAGGCCTGTTGTCCTGTTTACAGTGTGCAGTCCAAAAGAGAAATAGGGTGTGGGTCAAGAGCTAGTGGCTCAAGTTTGTAACCCTATTCACAGAAGCAAACATCTAAGGTCCTGCTTCTGAAGGCAGCCCAGGCAGGAAAAGTCCATAGACTCTTATCTCCAATTAACTACCAAAAGGCCAGAAGTAGAACTGTGGTTCAAGTGTGATAAGAATGCTAGTCTTGAGCAAAAAAGCTCAAGGACAGTGCCCAAGCCCTGAGTTCATCCCAGGACCAGTACAGACGGGGGCCGGGGGAAGAGGCAGATATTGGCCTAGACACACCAGTCTGAGCAGGAAGCTAGACACAATTTAAGCTCAAGTGGTAGGTAGTGCACTAGCCTTGAGCAAAAAAGCTCAGGAATGGCACCCAAGCCCTACGTTCAAGCTCTAGGACTGCCCCCCCCAAAGTAAATAGTATGTGCCCATATTATATATGACTAAGCAATATACTTTTGTGAAAATGTCTTCTTTACAAAGTTAGACACACTAGGCATTTGAGACCATGGCACCAAACATACCTTTTTCAGGAAGGGACACTGAACCCCTTTACTTCAGTAATGGACAATGAAAAACACACAGGATTTAAGAAATAGTATTTTATTTTTTGTGACAGGAATTCATTGGACTCCTAGGTTATAATTCCTTCTTTTTAAATCTAAGGAAATTGAGTGCATAAGTAATCTGCTTGTTACAAACCGAAGTTCTGAGGAAATAAGTACTCATGATTATTTATTAGAGCCCTTGGGGTCTCTAATAATCCACTGGAGTCTAGGAAAGTTATCAATTCTTATTACAAGAAAAGCATTATTGAGTTTATGTTTTTTTTAACTCTTAGAAGAAGAAGATGAGAAGACAGATTATTAGCAAGTAAAGTAACTAGATCCAGTACCAACTTCTCTTTGGATACTTTGGATCTTCCAAATGCATTCACACCCTGCCCTACTTACCCAGGGGTTGTTTTCTGCCGTGGACTGCCTCACCCACATTCTAAGAGCAGGCTGCCTTCCCTGCTGCCCTCCCTTCTTTGCATGCACACGCCTGCTCCGTGAACACCTGGCTGCCTAGCTCCACCACAACAAGGCCCTTCTTCCTTCTACCTCTGCCACGTGAGTCCTGCCTAAGCATACTTCATGCGCAGCTCACAGCCACAACTGACTGTAAAAAGTTGTCAGTACAATTGTTATATGGAAAAGTTACAACTCTACTAGTAATTATTTTAGAAAAGCAAAATTATACAAGAGTACCTGGAGACGAAAAGCCCTAAAGAATTTCTAACCATATCCATCAAGTAAATCTGGCTACTTTCACTCTTAAACACAACCTTTGTCCAACTGCAGGATATCCATTCTACCAGCTTGGCCACACTGTGTACAGGAAGCTCCCGTTCATCCTGAATCCCACTGGGATTGGTCAGCTACTGGACAGGCAGGTGCCTAGCCTGCTTAGCCATAGCAATTCCTGAGTTATCCGGAGCTCTCAACACCAGCACACTCCATCTGAACAGAAAGGGTAGTGAACTTTCTTTTTTTTTTTTTAATTTTTTAAAGAAATGATAATGGGTGCTAACCCAGAATTTAAAAAACTCTGTAAAACTTACTAGAGAAATAGAAAACCACTTTGTTACTTATAATTAACAATGTACAATAAAACCCAGCCTCATAAGATGAAACTAAAATTAGCCCTATTAGCTCATACTTCACACACATGCAGATATGCATCTGTACGCATGCGCGCGCGCACACACGCACACACACACACACACACACACACACACACAGAGCTCATTATAATTTTATCCCTTCCCTAGGTAAGAAGGAAAATAGGACCCGGAAGCCCGTCAAGGCTACATCTTCAGGCTGTATAGGTGCAAGGGTCCTGGTGAAATGGAAGGACGATAAGGCTGCCCCACACAGCAGACACCTAGTCAACTGTGGCTACCGAGTACCTGAAATAGTGCAAGCACGAAATGAAATCTCCTAACAGCCAGATTTCAAAGACACAGTGTGGTAAAATATCTTATTAATAATGTTTATACTGACTATATACTAAAGTAACATTGAGGATATTGAATAACACATAGTATAAAAATCAATTTCACTTGGTTTTTTTTAAGGTAGCTAGCAGAAAACTTTAAAATTACCTGTGTGCCTCACATTGTTGTTCTATTGAGCAGCTACTCTAAAACAGAAACATCCTCAGTCTTAGAGTTTACTAGGAACCACACATGATAACTAATCAGAATTACGCAGACAACCACCCAACAAGAGCTTACTATGATATATACACGCTCACATCACACTGATTTTAACTATGAAAAAACACAGAACCATTGAAATTGAGAATAGGCCATAATAAATATATAACTATTTGCTTCAAAGTCCCTAAACATGCTATATTTAAAAACACACAATTAGGTTTTATTTTAATTATTTGTAAACTTAAAGGAATAGCAAAAATCAATTAGGACTGCCCAGTTCTCACTGAACAAGCCAGCTCCTTTCAAAAATAAAGGGAGTTTTTAGAAAGCAGTTATACAAATATTTCCAAGGGCATCAGGAATGACGAATTCTGCTAAATATAAATTTGGAATGTACTTAAACCAACTTAAATATCACAGACAATACTTTCTCACTTCAAAAACATCAGAAGCAGGCAGGTGCCTATAATCAAACCTAGCTACACAGGAAGCTGAGAGCTGAGGAACACAGTTCAAAGCTAGCCCAGGCTGGAAAGTCCACGAGACTCATCTCCAATTAACCACCAGAAAACTGGAAGTGGTGCTGTGGCTTGAGTGGCAGGGTGCTAGCCTTGAGCACAAAAGCTCAGGGACAGGGCCCAGGCCCTGAGTTCAAGCCCCAGGGTGGAAGCAAACCACACACACACATTTTCCTTCTAAATCACTTGAGGAGGATAACATGATGCGGTACCGCAGCAGCAGCAGCACTCATTGCCCCCTAGGAACACGGAGACTGACACCAACGGGCACCAACAGGCACTAACAGGCGACACTGAGCAGAGGCTGCAGCCTGTCAGCTCAATATCCCAACCTTAAAATGAACCTTGTGGAGAGGTTTCTTCCCTTTGAGAGAGTAAGGAGGGTAGGAAAATGTTTGGATTATGGAGGGAGGAGAGAACAAACATCTAAATTTTACCAGTATGAAGTTAGAAAGAGACAAGACAAACCAACAAAATGCCAGAACTGAGAAGGAACTTCCTAGCTATACAGTGCATCCACCGCCCCCACTCAACCCCCACTTAAAGACACGCACCGATTTTGTGGTCCGAGGCTTGATGAGAAGGTGATGGAGGGAGGAGGAGCAGAGCTACCCCACAGCTTGCTCTCGACTCTCCTCACAACCCTTCCAGAAGCCTCTAAGGGTACAGGTCTGTCTCCCTCACACGCGAGGAGACACAGTCTCCAGGAGCTCCAGACATCCCGGCATCAAACCCAAGCGTATGTGGGTGTACGTATGAGTAATGGCATAAAAACATCATTAAACACAATAAAAACACACACACACAAGGAACAGGAGGGAAATGTGCCTGCCAAACAGCACAGGCTCGGTCCTATTGTTCTCAGGTAGAGGCCCAGCCTGGACTCCCCAGCTGCCAACAATGGAGTGATTGTGTGCTGACAAGACCAGGAACACTGACACCCCAGGCACATGCAGTGCACGGCTGCACTCACCTGCCCTTCTCACAGGGTGTCTACCACTTTATTTCCAGCCAGACAAACCACCAAAGTCCAAACTAGGATTTAAAAAACATTCTGAAGTATTTAATAATTCAAATTTTTCGTGAATTCTCCCTTGGAACCTCCAAGTAAGTTATCCTAACAGACAGTATTGTAAATGAAGGAACTGAGCTTGATTTCCATGAGCCAACCTCCACTCCAGCTCTGTTCCTTTACCTTTCTCATTGCATACAAAACAAATGCGCCTCATCTTCCATCTTCCTCTCTTCACAGAATGAAGGAAACGAACTAGACAGGATGTTCTGGAATTGGGCCCACAGAATCTTGCGGGCGGTTCATAAACCCTGAAAGCTATGTGCAACCTTAGGGAACGTTAATTTCACAAGGTAGAAATGTGCAAAGCTTTCCTAAGATTCTCACAGTTGGGAGAGACCCACAGAGGGTCACTTAAGTACTGCATGTGTGGGGCTTTTCGGAAGCCCTAGCCCTGCTGCCTGAAGAGGGGCTGGGGTGGGGCGTCATGCTCTTTGAGTGACAGGTAGTGAGTGGCAGGAGAAGCCTTTTACCAAGATCAGCTTGCAAGGAACATGGGGGGATAGAGACCTGAGGAAACTCACCACCAAATGCTCTCCTCCCAACCACTCACAAGACTAACAACTTACCGTATGATTATGTATTTTAATAGTGCAATGGGAGTTAGTGTCTCAATGCAAGAAATCAGCACTTAGGCCACAATCCTAAAACCAGTGAAAGAATTGTCTTTTATATAATTTGCTATTTTGCCTTTGGGACAAAATATAAAATACTGTTCCAAATTTGTAAGTAAGAGCCACTATGGACACTGTGTCACTTTGTATAGCCAGAGAAAGACCTTCCTGGCTCTTCCCAGAAGCCGCCTGCCTGCCTGCCACCGTGGTGGGCTTTTTTCCCCACTGTTTTTCAAAGGAACCGGAACATCCTGCCTCTCTTTCTTTGGCCAAGTCTTTCCGATACAGTGTAATAAGGCTATAAAAGAACAACAGTGAGGAGGTCTCCAGTCCTTTTCAAAGGACTAATTACAGCATGCTTAAGAATTAGACTTTCAAATGGTAAGAATAAACACTATAAATACTGCCTATATTATAAAGCACAGGAATCTTTTGGTTTAAGCTTAGATTCAAAATTAAAAATCAGTATTTAGATTAAAAGCTATAACATCTTAAGGTTCTAATTAGACATTCATTCTCGGATAAAATAGTAAAATATTCCTAGTACTTTTTACGAACAGCTTCTATGTGTGCTTAAAATAAAATCAGTATGAGAGAACACCCACAGTAAAACTACCTAACATAGCCAAAAAATTACTTGAGCCTCCTTGGCCAATTACACAGCAACACTTACCAATATTTAAAGCAATTTTCACCATACTATAAATTGCAGAATTTTACATATGCTTTATATTTTTATGAAACTTAAGAATTTACAACATAAATGGAGAGAACAACAACTATTTGGGTGCGTAATTATAAGCTCTGGTTAAATGGTTCTGCAAGAACAAGTTAATCATTAGCAAGTTTAAACAAGTAGCTGTGGGAAGAGAAGCCTTCTTCAAACATCAGTTTGCAAAGAACATGGAGGACAGCGACCTGAGGAAACTCACCACCGATGCTGTCCTTCCAACCACAGAGAACCACATTTCCATCCCTAGGACTACAACAGTGTCTTGAGATGAAAAAGTCGTCTAGTCCTCTCAGTTTTCAACAGCAGCCAACACAGCTGGCCCAGGATCACCACATTGCTGAGCTGGAAGCTAGGACACTGTACAGCATTTATCGACATGAGCTAGAACCAACGCAACTTTCAGACTTACGCAATGAGTCAACTCTTTAATCACTTTGTACTTTATAAAGCTTTAAAAAAGAGCTAGAAAAATAAAAAGGGAATTGTTTATATTTTTAAAGCCCAAATTAAACAGGAAGCATCATGTTGTCCGGCAGATGAGTAAGAAGCAGCATGCTGAATTCCCAAAAACCAATGCTTCAGCAAGAAAACTGCATGCCGACACTGTACACAGATCATCTGGACTTCATCAAAATCAACCACCATGTAGAAATCAAGGCGGGGAATTACCATCAAAACAGTTCAGGGTTACAGCAGCCAAGCTCTATGCCAATTAAAAAAGAGAAAAGGCCCACACTGGACACAAGCCCAGAACAAATAGCAGAAGCACACAGACATAGGAAGGCGTACCAGCTGACAGGAAAACAAACAGGGCTGAAAGGAAATGAGACCCACAAGGACACAGACAGCCACTGCTGCTGTGTGTGTGACCCAGGACCAAGACTGAGTGCTTCCCAGAGCTCCTTTCTTAATACATGAGATAACCACAACCAGCACCAGCCTTCAAGGGAAGGAAACAGGCCTGCAGAGGTACCTGGAAGAGACAGTATCTGAGAGGTGCAGCATGCCGGTAGCGCCCAGGCACCAAGAGTATCCTCTACGTGACATAGCAGAAGGCAAGGCTGGCAGTCCTAACAGTGACCTACCCTGCACTGAAAATGCACCAGCCATCTCAAAGGTAAGTCAGCGCCATTACTACCACCTGTGAGGACCCATGCCCCTCTCACCTGCACCATGCTGTCCTGCAGGGTGCACACGTGAGGTAACTCTTGCTTTCTTTTGCTGGGCCTTCCTTCAGTATCACAGACGTGACAAATACGCTGGAGGAAAATGAGCTACATTAAGTAATTGGACAAAACAGTGACCATTCATCTGTCTCATTTCAAGAACAGGCTAATTAATATAGTATTTCATATCTGAAAAAGGCACACTATCCACTTAACAGACTATTATTATTTCTTTTACAGCACCGTATGTCAGCACCAGAACTTTTCTCTGTCTCTAACCTTCTGAGCTCCACTATCCAATGTTCTGCCAGAAAACATGCCCACTTGTCCAAGAGGAACTCCCTCTATCTCAAGTGTAAGGAGCCCACCCCTGCCCCTCTGCAGATTCCGTCTCCAGAGGTCCAGACATCAGTGACACCTCCATATACCCTCTACTCAAGACAGAATCAGGGTTCATTTCCTTAGTTCCCTTGTATATATACCATGGTGTTGAATTCATTAACCCAACTATCAGCACTGACCGCAATGTTAGAACTTGTCAGTCCTTCATTAAGCTTCAAGAGGAAATATGGCTTCTCAGAGGTCCAAACTGGAGTGGGGTAGGCCCAGCAGCATGACATGCCTGCCACAGCGGGCCTCAGCCACCTGTGCCACCAGCCCTCTCTCTCACCTGGAAAGTGAGTGCTGCTGAAAGGCTGTCAGCCATACTCCACAGAGGGGAGCCATCTGAACTTCATCATGCCGCATTTGAACACTCACAGGCTGCCTTTCACATACAATAAAATGCACAGCTCTGTCGAGTCTCACCTTCCACAAGGCTCTAACTCAGGGGCCATCAGTAACCTCACATGTTCTTACGAATGAAATGTATTGGACAATAGCCATGCTTAATCCTCACTAACTGTCCTATGGTTGCCTGCACAGTATGGACACAAACCTGCCAAGTGCTGCATACTTACAGAGCTGCTAGCTCATGCCTGTAATCCTAGCTACTCAGGGGGCTGAGATCTGAGGATCGTGGTTCAAAGCCTGCCTGGGCAGGAAAGTCCCTAAGATTCCAATTAACCATCAGAAAAACACAAGTGGTGCTGTGGCTCAAAGTGGTAGAGCACTTGCCTTGAACAAAGAGCTCAGAGACAGTGCCCAACCTGAGTTCAAGCTCCATGACCAACAACAACAGAAAAAGAGAACACTGGCCAACTGCTGTCTGGTCTATTCCCAAGGCTTCTCAACTCCTTCAAACATGGTTGCCTTCACTGCCTGCACTCACACCAGGCTGGGCTTAGAGTCTTTACATGGCTTCACTTCTGAGAGTTCCAATCTGCCATCTTTAACCTGGCAAGCCCAACTTGTCCTTCAAGCTCAGCTCAACACTGTGTCATCCGCCTCGCCTTCCCTGATGACGCCACTGCAGTTTCCACACTCGACATTCAAGAATCCCTGCATAAACAATGATCTACAATGCCATTCCTCACTCCTTTTTTTTTCTGCCTTATCTCTCAAGTGATCAAGAAGTATGTACTGATGAAGCAGCTAACTAGGATTACAGATACTCTTGGCAGAACAACACATTTTGCTAGGTAAAGACTTCATGAGTATTAAACCTATGCTTCGTCTTACTAAACCTATTTTTTAAGCTGAAAAAGTAACTATCTTAGGACTGCTCTCTTTTCATAAGCTCTTTACCACTTCTAGCTTTAAGTTTATGTACACTATTAGTGTGGAAAAGATTTGGAGAGGCCAAACAAGAACAAAGTGAAAGCTATCTAACTTCAGGAGAAGAGGAGGAGGCCGTGCCTCCTGCTCAGGCTCCTTCCGTCGATGCTTTGGGGAGCACCCAGGATCAGCAGTCCTGGTCCCTTTCTTTCCAGAGGGGCTGTAATAAGTAGACTGTTGAGGGAGAGATGGGAGGGGGAAAGATTACCTCAGAAGTTGGAGAATGGTGGGTCCTGAAAAGACTGCATATCACATCTGGTTGGAAAAAACTTCTTCTCTAGCCTTGTGTCTATTTAACTCTGTTCTTACCAAACTCTATTATCACAATTCTATGATCTAACTGTGTTACAGTTACGAACACCGTTAACACCGCTGTTCAAATCTCTTCTACGAATCTTTTGGAATACCTTTCTTTATATAGGAAACAAGCAAAAAAAACTAAAGATTGAAAAGTGAAGAATCACACTCTACTTTGCACACAATGAACATTCCAATCTCTTCTTGAGTAAATATTGTTTTATCAATTAGCTACTACTTTCTTATTTACATTTATTTAACTATTCATAACAATGTAAGGAACCTGGTCTGCATAGCATTGCAGATTCCTCAAGATTCTGTGAGGCTGATGAAGATCAGTACTTGCGCCACCTCAACACCTACTATATCCTCCTATTACAGCTGAGTAGGAGCAAGGATTTCATCATTTCATCCATGACACAGCTTTGTTCTACAAAGCAGGTACAGAGGGCTGTTTTCCTTAACAGGCCTCCTTGCTTACAAACAAGTGGTACCTAGAGGAGTGACAGCTGAGGCTGGGGTACAAGTGACCAAATGCAGGGCTACCACCCGGTGTGCCACAACCATGCAACAGCACAGGGCACACGCAGGGAGATGCCAGGTACAAGCAGTTCAGGAGCACACCACCCCAGGACTGGGGTGCCACCACTGAGGCTCTCTAGCAGAAGGTGTGCACCTCAGCCAGGTGCCTCTTCCACTCCCCCGCCCCCACGCCCAGCTTTCAAGCAGGGCTCCTTACAGTGACAGGTTTCTCCACCTGCCACCTGTTCATTATCTCAGCCTGGAATACCCTGGGGAAAACAGAGCGTAGGGGCAATGCCCTTTTCTCTAGCCTACACCTTCACATGAGTGAACAAAGGCTGGCTGTTTAAGCTTGGCTTTCTGTCCTAGCCCAACAAGGACAGAGGTCAACAAGTAGAAGAACAACCAGAGGACACAGGAGAAGACAAGGAGTCTGAGTGAAGCCCAAGTTCCCTCCTCCCTCTGCAATGTAAAGAAATGAGGCTTCTTGTGTGTCAGTACACCAGACCAGAAACCAGAAAGCAGACCTGAATATATACAAAGAAAGTTGTTTTGGACTGAGAGACTTAAAAAGCAAAGCAAAACAGTGATTTGCAGAAGGACTATATACATAATAGGAAGTATAGAATCTAAAGCTGTTTTGCTATTCCTCGCAGTAATGAGGATCAACTCCAGAGCCTTGTGTGTGTTAGGTGATGTTCTACTATTGAGCTATATACCCAGAATTAAGTCCTCCATGTCTATCTACTGGAGTGCATGGAATTGATCCTGATAGGTGTGGATACACATGTGTGTATGTGTGCATGTACATGTATCATACATATTCATCATACATACATATGCACACACACACACACACACATGCACCACATATATTCCCTCCTGAAAATAGACACTGATTTTATAGGCAAACAGGAAAACTAATGCCATGCTGACACTTTCTTTTCATACTTCTGGGTCATATGAAGTGTGGCCTGTGATCAGGATGACAGGGACAAGCAGAAATCTGGCCTGGGGAGGATAGGAGGCTCTCATCTATCCAGTGCCTGTCACAGGTGACTCCACATGACTTGGAACTTCCTAGATGACGGACACACAAGTTCATCCTGCAAAGAGCTTGTCCACAGTCCCGGACTCTTGCTCGGGATGGGCCCAGAGGAAGCTTCCCCAATGTCAGTGTCATCACCGTCTCCTCTGTCATTTTCTCTCAAGTGCAGACACAAGGAAGTGCAGGCTTGTCCACATGTCCACCCAGAGCTCTGACAGTAGCTGTGTAAACAGGGCATGCAACCTGCCTGTGCTGACTCTCTCTCCATCACACATTTCTCTCACGCCTTCTCTCTAGGTATTTATATTTCAGGCATTAGCTAAAATGCCATTTCTTCCAAGATGACCCATGTCTGCCTACCACCCACATCCTATGATTCAAAATCATTCAAATGTTAAACTGTCATGGAATTTCTACTGGATCTTGGTATGAATAAAATTTTCCTCATATCTAACAGTGTTATTTTAATATATAGACAATTTATTATAGTAAACTTCAAAAATACGTGACAGAAAATGCCCATTCTTTAAAATTAAAGAAAAATCTTATTCAATTTTGTCAACAAATAATTCTCTCTACTACACAGCATGGACTGGATTAGGAAGTGGAGATGGTAGAGAGAAAATGCTACAGAGATGACTAACAGGGAAAGAGAGTAAAATCTTAACAATGGAATTCATTATGTAAAGAACGGAAAGTAAAAAGGGACCTGCTCTGATTCTGGGACAATGACAGGAAATATGAGCTAACAGGGAAATCCTGGCAGAGCAGAATACTAGGGTGTTTTTAAAAATGATATTGTTTTTACTTTTCTTTGAGAATGGATGTACCTATACAGCCCAGGCCAGTCTTGAACTGGCTATCCTCTGACCTCAGTCTCAGGTGGATTCCAAGAACAGGAACAATACACAAGCATCTCATATGAAGAAGGCCTGGGTGCTTGCTACCTGCTTCTAGTTTTAAGAGCCATGACTCTAGACTATGGCAAGCTCTTCACCTCGCATACATTTCATGCAATGTTGACTTCATGCTGCCCCCAGGCCTCATGTGAAATGGAAAGTTTATAAATCAGAAGGGAGGAGGGGCTTACTTATTAGTACAACCTTAACCACTGCAGGTTCCAAAGCAATGGAAATGGTGTCGAATGACAGTCTCTTTATTTCTAATTCATATGCATAACAATACAATTCTGATACATACATACCTGACTTTAAAACTCTAGAGATAATTCAATTTAAGCATATTTCTCAGAATACATCAGCAATGTGGAATTCAGAAGGTTTTTTCGTATTGCTAAACAGTGTTTGCTAGCCATATATTCCTTAGATAGCTGCTAAAGTATTACTTTAAGCCAAGTATTAGCATAGTTGATTAAAATGTTAGTCATTAAGATTAGCTTAAAAAAATCACACTCCAATGAAAATATCTATGTCTCCAGGCTGAAGAACAATAGAAGCAAACTTCACGCTACAGTCCCAACTTGCTGAAAGAAGCTTTAAGTGACAATATTAGTTTCCTATAGCTGACAGAAAACGATCTGCCACACAGTAATGGGTGAAGGGGCTCAGGTTCTAAGGGTTATAGGAGGGTAGTGGAGCAGAATGATATGCAGTCATCCTCTAGAAAGGAATGCCTAGAGATAAGAGCTTGAAACCTGCTTGGGCTCCCATGTCCCTTACTTGCACTCAAGGCTGTAAGCTCTGACATCTGCTGTGGCGAGGTGACAGAGCTATGATCCTTCCCCTACTGTGCTGACAACTCTTGCCTTTAACATAGCTTCTTTGAGACTGCTGGGTCTCAAGGTAACACACAGCCCAGGAGCTCATCAATCAGTCAACTCCAGTGGTGTTGTGGTTTCCTTTATGCAGCGCATTTCTTTCCCCAGAAGCAGAACTGAACACTCGCTCTCCACGCAGGGAACAGAGCACCTGCACAGCAGCCCTAACCCTTGCTGGCTTGGCTCGGGGTAGGCACATCCTCCAGGGCTCACTGTCCCTACCTTTGCTGCCACGATGCTCAGGCCCATTCCATTCTGCTTTTTCAGGGTCACAGTGATGATTTCTGGTTCCTTCCTCAGAGGCTGAGCCTAAAGAATGAACACAGAGGTTACTTTCTGGGCATAATGAAGTTATTTCCATGTAGGTACAAAGTTAGTCGACTGCATTTTAAATGGAAAAGAGAATGAGTAAAAGACACCCACAACTTTGTACTCTTCATGATGGTGGTATCTATGGAAATAAAGTCACCCATCATATTAAAAGTCTGGAGAAGCGGAGCTTACGTAATTAAATATGTAAATTCTTCATCAGATAGTAATTTGTGTAGTATTTGGAGGGAAATGCAATGTAACTTTAGTAAGAAACGTTCTCACTATATGTATAGTTTTATATTTACAAACCAAATATAGGAAAAGTCGGAAAATGTGGTAATTATACAGACAGTTTTTTAGAAGGCAAGTAAGCAGGCCTATAAGACTACTTACTTGGAGGACAATAAATTAGATATTCTTTTTTTTTCCAAAATCAAAACCAATTTTAAATCTGCCTCCTGAGCAATTTGATACATTAGGAAGATGGAGAATCAGTGATTCTAAGAAAGTACTTGTTTTTCTAGTAAACCTGGTAAGAAGTAGGTGCTGTTATTTCAGATTTGGCTGAAAATAGCTACAGAGATCAATTTAAAAATGTCAGCAATATGGTTTATTAGGAATTAACTGTGATCACATATTTGGTGCAAAAGAACAAATATCAATTCAATTTTTGAACATGGCTCTAATTTATGCTCAAATCTAAACTATGCTAAGAAACCAAAATAAATTACTTTGAATTTAACCTACAAAAAAGCATCCTTGGGCTGGGCGCATTGCTCAATTGGTAGAGTACTTGCCTAGAATGCAAAAGACCCTAAGTTTAAACCAACAAATAAAATCCTACTATGTATACATAATACTTGTGAAATACTTGTGAAACCAAGTAAAATTTTCCCCAAGATGGTAACCATACCAAATACCTGACTCTTGGTATCTTCAGGTATATGTCTGAAAGTGAGGAAAAACTAGAATGCTCAAGGTGCACACATTTCAGAATTGTGCTATGAATGCTTGACTAATTCTTCCCATAACGTCCAGTTTTCACTGATCTAAAATGCTCATTTTATCACTTAAATTGGGCACATTAACTTTTACCTTACTTTTTGGGTGGCAGATTTTCACAAAATTAAAGGCAGAGAAACATTCAGTCCACTCACAGTCTAAAAACAAATAATGCAGGACTAAAAGAGAACTTTGTGTCAAACTGTACCGTATAGTTCTCATGTGGAAATTTGTTTTTGAAATATCTTTTGACTTTATCATTGTTTTGACTATGCTTGGCAAAAATACATGCAGTAAATCTGCACAGAAGGTAGGCTCACTGTATCACAAAACATGAGCAAATAACTTGATAAACATTTAGGATAAAATAGAAAGGACTAGAAAAGATTTTGTTTCAAAATTATTTTCTTAAGTCTGTTAAGACTACAGATTAATATTCTGACAATATATATGAAAGTTGACATAACTGTGAGCATAAGTATTCTTCATTTTTAAAAGTACTTTTTGTTTAGACCTAAAACTATATAGACATGAGTAGGCAGAAAGAACATATATATATATAGACATATATCATCCTCTTAAGAGGTTTGAATCAAATTATTTAAAAATGACCTTAAAATTTTTCCTTTCACATCAGTTTTCAGTGTAAGCAAAGAATGAATTTGCATTAAATTTTCAGGTGATTAGGAATCTATTTTGTATTCAAACCCATCTAACATTCTTAAAATACTTGCCAGTTCTGTATTCTCACGTATAATTTGACTCTCATAATCTGCACCTTCAAAATATATCGTCCAGGTTCCTGGCGATCGTATGTGAGGAATTAACCTGCAAAATCCTAGGTAGAAAACAAATTACAAAATGAAAAGGCATGTGACTCAACTCATGGTTTTCAACTGCCCACATATACCTATACATGAGCCTTGTTTTCCCACTGCACACTTGAGGAACTCACCATTTATGATCTTCCTAGTTCAGATTCTCAAATGCTGGTATAACATGCATGTGCCATCATACCAAGCCAATGATTTAGTATCTTAATGACATTTATTTTTGTCACTTCTGAAAATTTACTAAACATTTAAAATTACGTTTGTTTTGACCCAACAGGATTTCAGAACCAAGGTGAGAAGTGTAAATTGGGTCTTTCCTTCTGTGTCCACAGAACTTTTTTCTTTCTTCTGTGAGAAATTACTGAATTGCTCTGGAACTACCTCTTTAAAGGACTATATACTACTCTGCATTAGGAGAGCCACAATGTCATTCGTAACATTTAGGAGACTAGGTGACCTTCAATGGCATTCAAAATATCCACTTTGTAAAAGAACAGAATGAAGAACACTTAGGACAACATTACTTTGGTTTAAAGAGATAGAAAAAGGTGTATTTAGCCCGGCGCCAGTGGCTCTCATCTATAATCCTACCTACTTAAGAGACTGAGACCTGAGGATTGTAAATCAAAGCCAGCCTGGGCAGAAAAATCCATAAGACTCTTTTTTTTTTTTTTGGAGGTGGGGGGGGGTCCGTCGTGGGGTCTGAACTCTGGGCCTGGGCGCTGTCCCTCAGCTCTTCAGCTCAAGGCTAGCACTCTACCACTTGAGCCACAGCGC